CACGCAAACATTTCCCTTTTATTTTGTTGTAATATTCACAACAAGTATTAATATTTTGGCAAACACATACTATTTTCTATCAATATATATTTTGCAAACACGTATATTTTATATGAATTTCAGCATATGTCTGTGGATTGTCTTAATTGTAGACTGACCTCCAACATAAGAACGTGGAAGTTCAAAGCTGGCACAGGGCCACCAATGGAGGTCATAGATGTCTCATGCTCATGCATGTACATGAACCTAAACATGTTTCAAGACATAAAAAGACTTTCTTGTAAAACACCGTCCCATCTGAAAGAAGTTATACATATAAACACAAAGTGGTAATTCTCATTTTATTTTAACAATATTTTTTTTTTCCAAGAGGAATTGTGAATTCTGGGGTAATTTTGCATAGACATCAGCTCAAGCAAAGTTTCTCAGTGCTCAAATGAGTGTCGGTTGGCACTAATCTCCAATGACAGCTGTGGCCAGTCGTATAAATTTCACATCCTCATGAGAAGGCCATGACTTCCCAGAAAGGGAGAAAAATATTATCGACCGAGAGGTATGATGAGCTGAATCGATCACTGAAATAAATTTAAGGTCCTGACTTTCCATTTGGCCAGATTATTAATCCGTTTGCAAAATAACCAGGATGACGATAATTCGGGAATTGGCTGGGTATACAACAAGGCCGATTGTTTTCCACTGATAGTGTTGTCTGGAGGGTATAGCATCATTTTACACTGTGATGTTACGTTCTGACATCCAATCAAGAGCTTTCGCAGAGGTTTCTGGGAAAGGAGTACAGTGGGCAGTTGTTTCCTGTTTGTGTTCCACTACTAATACCTTACCGAGATTAAATGAAATGAGCGTCACATAAGCAAAGTAATAAAAATACAATCCAACACATTTTGCAAAAGCTATTCGCAAAACAAAAGTATCACTAACTCAAGTATAACCAAAAGCGTGACCAGGTGACTGCTTAGAGCCTTTTGACTTTGAAGGTCAAGTCTGAGTAGAAAGATCAAGTCTGTGTAGAATCTGTATTTCCAATCGCAGATGCTTGATAATTATGATGGCAGCAGGGTGTTTAAAAATATGGACCCGATTTGAAATCGCTATATCTCTGTAACCACGAACCGCCCATGAATGAAACTCTTACCACTTGAAAGGGCGGGGCATAGAGTTTCAAATGATTACTGCTAGATGCCTCTCCCAGCGCAAAAACAGCCCCTAGCCTCAGTCATTCTCACACACTGCCTCAACGTTGGATAGGTCGCACGGGAAAGACGTGGTGCTATACTCTTGGCCCCCAACATCCCCAGATATCACACCCTGCGACTTTTTCTCGTGGGGATACGTCAAAGACCGTGTTTTTGTTCCACCATTAGCGACTAATCTGGATGACCTCAAAAATAGAATCATGACAGCAGTAACTTCAGTGGAAGAAGACACTTTGAGAGGCGTTTGGGACGAATTCAACTAACATCTCGATATTGTCCGTACAGCAGGTGGTGGACACATAGAGCATGTATAACATGGTTAGTAAAACTTGATAACTCATTAAACCGTTTGTAACTTTTTGTGTAATTGTAACATGTTGCCATCGTGAAATATACTGCTTTTAAATTGGGTCCATTGTTTTCAAACACCTTTTGTCCATCTGCTGCCGGATCAAGGCTTCCCCATGCCATGTTCGTCACAGGGGTTGTTTGATTCCACTTCACACCACACTGATCAGTGTAGGTTGGTGAAAGGGGGGGGAGTGACTCAGGATTGGTACAGATATTACTCGCCACTAATGATAGCCATGGCTGGGAATCGAATTCAGATTCCTGGGTTCAAAGTGCAGTAAGTTAACTACTGGACCAACGCTCCACCCCACAAACTGCTTCTCTATACAGCTGCTTCCGTAGCGTATACATGTGTAGTGACATAAGGGAGGGGCTGCTGTAGGCTCTGGGTTCCCAGGTGGGTCCAGACGCGTAAGCCTCTGGGCGCCAGGCACTGGGTTCCCAGGGGGTCCAGACGCTTTTAAGCCTTTGGGCGCCAGGCGTTGGGTTCCCAGGCGCTTAAGCCTTTTTGGCGCCGCCAACGGGGGGGGGGGGGGGGGGGGGCTGTGTGTGCTCTGTGGGATGTCTGGTGGCGCACACGGCCCCACCCCTCGTCGGACCAGGCATAAAAGGAGAGCTCCCTGGACGATCGGGGCCCAGTTGTAACTCAAGACCCAAGACCCACGACCAGCCATCTGAAGACCCTGGGTTGCTGTGAGAGCCAGTGGTGGGACTCTGGAACTCCCGACTCTACGACCTTGTGAGGGCGAGCGTAGCCAGAGTAGAGTATCTAGAGTATATAGGCTGTGTAGCTAGGCTGTGTACCTAGGCTGTAACAGAGTATCAGGACTGTTGGAGTGTTGTATTGTAATAAAGAAGTTACATCTACAAGTGTCTCCGGAACCCGTTACATTTGGTGTTAGAAGTGGCTATGGAGACAAGAAGTAAGCCACGTACCTTCAGTCCTGACGGCGATGAAGAGGAGCAGGCAGCGATGGGGCGGCCAACGCCGGCCGACAGCGACGCCGCACCGCCGGCTGAGCAGCTGTCTGCTCCGCCGACCGTCCCCTTTCCAGCGTCGGGAGCAGAGATGGAGGAGGCGCTGCTTCGCCTCGCAGAGCTGCTCTGCGCCACCGCCTCCCTCCTGGGCGAGCTGCGGTGCTCGCGGCCGATGGCGGGAGGGAGAGAGGAGGCGCAGCGCTCGCCCGAGCCCGCCGCTGCCGCCATTCCCCCCACGGATGTGAGGGATACTTCCGGGTGTGTCGTCACTTCCACCAGAGGAGCAGTGACCGCTGGGAGCGACGTCACTTCCGGGCCCAGCGTGTGCCAACCCGACGACGCCGCGTCATCAGCGCTGCGTCCCTCACCGCCGGACGACAGCTGGCTTCAACCTAGCATAGCGCGTCATCAGCGCTGCGACCGGACAGTGAGGGCGCCATTCTTACTGTAACCAGCGCCGGGGCCGGCACATGGACCGACACGCTGGTCGCCGCCTTTGCTGCTCTGGCCAAAGGTTGGAGGTCGGGAGACCAGGCCCCTCACACTTCGTACATTTACGCGCTCCTGATTAATGATTTTTTTTGTTGACATTTTCTTCGTTGTCGTCGGGGAGTCGTGACTGTTGTTGGGTAAACTGTGTTGAGCTTCGCCCGTGAGTGTTGTCAATGTGTGTGCGAAACTTTGCTTGTGATTGTTAACAATGTATGGTTTATATTGAGCTTATTTCGTGATTGTTAATGTATAGCTTGTGCTGTCATTGTTAACAATGTATATACTGTATGGGGCATTTATCTTGAGATGGTGACATGCTGCCAAGGATTGGAATTGTAATGCTGGCTCTCAAATATCTTGGGGCGCAGATCCTGACCAGGATGTCCCAGCGGGTGTTGCGTGTCTAACACGAGAGTTGTGGTCCCGTCATGCTATGGCTGACGGCTTGACCTGACAGCCCGGAGATTGAAACACTCCGTGGCATGTCTAGCCTAGTGGGCTGTGTGCTCACATGGTTCGGAGAGTGTGGTCCCGTCATGCTATGGCTGACGGCTTGACCTGACAGCCCGGAGATTGAAACACTCCGTGGCATGTCTAGCCTAGTGGGCTGTGTGCTCACATGGCTCGGAGAGTGTGGTCCCGTCATGCTATGGCTGACGGCTTGACCTGACAGCCCGGAGATTGAAACACTCCGTGGCATGTCTAGCCTAGTGGGCTGTGCGCTCACAGGGCTCGGAGAGTGTGGTCCCGTCATGGAATAGCTGACGGCTTGACCTGACGGCCCGGAGGTTGAGACCCTCCGTGGTACGTCTGGAGCAGTAGGCTCGCCCTGATGGCCCGGAGATTGAAACACTCCGAGGCGCGTTGAAACAGTGGGCTGGAGATTCGTGGTGTTCAGGTGTAGTTGTCCCGTTACGTTGGGACTGTATCCCTCAGTTGTTAGAGTGCATGTTGTGCAGGGAGTGAACAATGGGTCGTCTCAGATCGGTCGGTACAGCTATATGCTGCGATGCGAGTCTTGGAGAGAGGTTGGGTCTCAGATCGGTCGGTACAGCTATATGCTGCGATGCGAGTCTTGGAGAGAGGTTGGGTTTCAGATCGGTCGGTACAGCTATATGCTGCGATGCGAGTCTTGGAGAGAGGTTGGGTCTCAGATCGGTCGGTACAGCTATATGCTGCGATGCGAGTCTTGGAGAGAGATTGGGTCTCAGATCGGTCGGTACAGCTATATGCTGCGATGCGAGTCTTGGAGAGAGATTGACTTCTCGACCCGGGACGTAGACAGACGTCCGGATAAGTGTGTGTAGAGGGATGCTCGACATGTTAGTCTTCGCCTTCTCTCCACCTGACGTATGGGAGGCTGGCAGAGTGGTGTGGATCCCTGCCATCCATGCGGTGGTTATGTGATTTCGGTTCGATTACCGGTGTTGGTTGTGCATCCAACGCGTCGGAATCTGTATATTTGTTGTTGTTAATTCCCCGTTTTCTATGCGGATCCCGAGGAGGGCTAGGTGTGCCGCGGGTCGTTTGTTCACGTGTTATTGCTTCACCTTTTTGTTGATTGATGCTTGTATATAGTGTAGAGTTGTACAGGTTGGTTATGGTTTTTATGGTTGCTTTCTTGTTCTCTTTTCTTTTCCTGTTGAGGCTCGCATATTTTTTTTCTCTCTCTCCCTTTCGTTAATTTAAACTTTCTAATTATTGACAGCCGGGACGGCTGGAGGCTACGTAGAGGGGGGTAATGTAGTGACATAAGAAGGGAGGGGCTGCTGTAGGCTCTGGGTTCCCAGGTGGGTCCAGACGCGTAAGCCTCTGGGCGCCAGGCACTGGGTTCCCAGGGGGTCCAGACGCTTTGAAGCCTTTGGGCGCCAGGCGTTGGGTTCCCAGGCGCTTAAGCCTTTTTGGCGCCACCAACGGGGGGGGGGGGGGGCTGTGTGTGCTCTGTGGGATGTCTGGTGGCGCACACGGCCCCACCCCTCGTCGGACCAGGCATAAAAGGAGAGCTCCCTGGACGATCGGGGCCCAGTTGTAACTCAAGACCCAAGACCCACGACCAGCCATCTGAAGACCCTGGGTTGCTGTGAGAGCCAGTGGTGGGACTCTGGAACTCCCGACTCTACGACCTTGTGAGGGCGAGCGTAGCCAGAGTAGAGTATCTAGAGTATATAGGCTGTGTAGCTAGGCTGTGTACCTAGGCTGTAACAGAGTATCAGGACTGTTGGAGTGTTGTATTGTAATAAAGAAGTTACATCTACAAGTGTCTCCGGAACCCGTTACACATGCACGGAATATAAGTCGGACTCTGAACGACATCGCATCGATCCAATGAAACCTTGCAAACAAGGGTCAGTTACAGTATTTTGAAAACAACATTAAAACTTTGACCTCCCTGGCGAATTCAATCTCCACGCTAAAATACGCAGTGTTCATTTTTCTTCGTGGCCCTGCGCCAATTGTATACATTTCCGCATTCACTTGTGGAAACTCAACAGAAACACAACTGCTGTTGACTTTCCACAAGTGGTACTAATTTTATTGACAAACAATAAGCGGCCTGACTCGACCCCTGACCGGAATTACAATTTGTAAATTCTTCCCCGCTGTTTTGCACTGCATTAACACGTCGCTCACACGAGTGCTCGAGATGTTGGTCACTTGGCGGAGCTGCAGGGTTCACGATTGCTATAGTTCACGGGGGTTCAAATTCTGGCCAGGGCAAACGGGAGTTGGTCACTGCCCCGCGAGACATTTGCTGATAACAAATTCATTTTGGCGCGTACTGGCTCCCTCCTACCATTGTCCCCCTCTTCCCTCGTTTTCTCGCTCCCCTTTATTAAAAAAAACCCCGATACTCCTGTTCATAATCCCCACGTGTGTGGGGGCAGTGAGCTCAATTTCTGCCAACTCTTTGGACGCAGGAGTACTGAGTTTGAGGGCTTTTGGTCCGCAGGAGTTTTCTGTCCCGCCTCCACCCCCCTTGTTGCGGTTTATGCCTCGTACCGAGTACTTGTCTTGCAAAACAAAAATTAAAAACATATTCTGGTCAAGGTCTGCTCTCAGACTGTCATTCCTTCTGGGTCAGTCAAATGAATGAGCACCACCTCGTGAAACTTTGCCAATTGACTGGACTTTCTCCCATGGACACACGACTGCCAGTGGACACGAGCACAGCTCAATGCTCATTTGGGCATGGGTTACATTTAAGCCAATAATTTAGAATCCTTTGTCAATCCACCACTGGATAAAGCCCCCCCCCCTCCTCACGTGGTGTTGGTCATGGAGTTTGCTTGACCATACTTCACAATGCACATCAGTGTGAATCCATTAAGAATTGAGCCAGTTTTTCTCTCTATAGAATAGTGCATCGTCTGTCTGTTTGTATTGGTGTGAGCACCAGTTGCTCGGCTGATCTCAATCTTCTAATTATGTTAAACAATTGTGGAATTGTCTTGAAAATGTTTTATCGACTGAACTTTAAAGTTCCACTTTTAATTATACCATATAAAAATGTTGTACTTCGTAATTTTTAAACACTCTTCCCATATTTATGTTCTAATTCCTTCACAGTTGTGCAATTGTGTGTAACATTCCTACGTAATCGTAGTAGTACAGCTCTAGAGCTTACCCAGTAAGTCCAACATATAAATAATGTCATATAACACTTTTCATAATGAACTCCTACGTATGCCCGTCATGTAATTATTACTTTTCTTCAACTATTACTCTCAAAGTACGCCAAAAAAATTATGATATGCTTAAGTTGATGCGAAACAAGTTAAATACATGTTAAATATTTTACAATTCCTATGGGATACCCACACAATCGGTTTAATAATTAATTTGGTCATTAAGAGGATTTAATCCTGTGGTAAAATGTCCTGTGGGAATTTCGTTGTCACTGGACTTCCGGTATAAAATGGTGGCGGCTAATGGCTCCAATTTGAGAAGGCAACAAAGCCCCAGTTTTCCGCCTCAGGTGACACGTTTAGGAAGATGTATTGAAAATTGGAAGGCGATAAGTACAAAGCAAATAACGTTACGATTTTGGCACGGTAATTTTTTTGTAAAATTGGTGAGGTGCAGGAAAAGGTAAGGTCATGGAATAAATGCGGGGGTGGGGCACCGCCTAAAACATGTATTATTTTTAATTACATTACTTTTTTTACGGTGGCTATTTTTTTAAATGTTATTTTTAAAATGCTATTTCAAGGGAGAGCCTATGCCCCCCTCCACTGTCCTCTCCTGAAAATGGAGACTTGTACTTTAAGCGCGAAACATTTTTGAAAGGAAGTTAAAGAAGCGGCTAAGTTAAATGTGTGTTGTTCAGCCCATCGTGAACAATTTACGGATTTTACTATTAATTTATGTGACCACAGTGACCCCCGTGGCTTCAACAAGGGGGTTGGGGATCGATATCCAGATAGCTTCCAGAATTATCTTAGAATTTTAAGATAATATATTCCAATGTAAACGTAATGCACATTAATGTATAGGTTTTCTGTAAATGTGATTAATGTACCATCCGTGAAAATGTATTTGAAGCAACGAATAAAGTAACAATAACCTGAAATGTATCATGGTTATTACTGTGGACTTCATAAAGATGTAATATTATTATTGTTATTTTGACATACACCAGTGTATCAAGTTTATTAGGCAAACATTCTGAACACGTCTACGTTTGTACGCATGTAAATATTACTATACTGTATATTATATACGTAGAAAACATGTATTTTATTTTTAGATTTTATTTCAATCAGCTTATTTATAGTCCCTGACTTAGAAACACGCAATTACACAAGTATAAACGGTTTAAATCATATAATTTGTTTTATGCTATAAACGCCCATATTTACACAGATGATTTGGCTAAATGTGCAGCAACACTGGAGACTGAGGATAATGAAGTTTAATTTTGTGACATCCACGTTGCTGTTTCTTTTTTTCCATTGTCGTCTTGCACATTATCAACAATACTGAAAAAAATATCCAAATGTTACCATTGCATGCACACTGCACGTATATAAATAATCGCGTCCTATGACTGCAAAAAATATTATTCAGACTAACTTCAGCCAGTGATCGGCATTAACGGTTCACTAGCTTAGACGACAGTAGAATCTAGTGAAAGGGTAATGCTCAAAGTCACATAACTCAAAATATTCGCGGTGCAAACTGAAGGCAAAACGGTTTAGCTTTTCATAAAGCTGCATTTCCAAACAAGAGACTTAGTTGAATTATAAAATAAAACAACAGAAAAACATTAAGACTGAGACCACTCTGAATTATTGGTCCAAGAGATGTAATAGACTAAAAATTTATAATAACCGATTTGTCATGATTATGAAAAACATTGCTGCCAAAGCCACCGATGCCCCACACCTCAACTGCCACTGCCCTGTGTGGCTCCACAGCTGCTGCACAGGCACTACCCGACCTCTAATGTCCACTCTCGAGAGCGCAACCCTTCCCACATCTGCCTTTGAAATATCTACAACCTCAATTAAATCCATTGCGGGCTTTTTTCCAGTCCTCTGTGCTGCGCAGACCTTCCATCAAGTTCCCCTCGGCGGTGGCGGCGGTAAGATGATCTGATCGATGTTGGAGAAGCGTTTGAGGAAGCCGAACCGGCACAGCGCCGACGTGGAGGACGAGGAGGAGGAGGACGAGGACGACCGCGGGGTCGCGCCACCGGCGCCCGTCGTTGTCATCGCCGTCGCCGCCACCACCCCGGCCGTCGCCGCTCCGGCCATCACCTGCCCGGCGGCACCCCCGTTAGTCGTCACGATTGCCGTCGACGCGACGGTGGCGCCGGAGGTCTTGCCGTCGAACGTCTCGAGCCATATGAGCGAGCTGGTGAAGCCAACCTTGGCGTGGCTCGGGGAGGCAGACGGAGGTACGGATTGGGCACCGCCGGCGGAGGCAGCCGTGCCGGTGACGGCGCCGTTGGCGGCGGCGGAGGCAGCTGCCTCGCTGAGCTCGGAGCGGCGGCGCCAGCGCTCACGCAGCAGGTGGCGCACCTTCTCGCGGAAGTAGCGCGTGGTGAGCGTGTAGAGGATGGGGTTGAGCGCGCTGTTGATGGGCAGGATGAAGATGACGACCCACGACGTGATGCTGCCTGTGTGCGTTGGGAGAGGGGGGGGAGAGAGTGGAAGGAAAAGCATGACGGCGTTCGTGATGGAGCGGCGGTTTGGGAAAAAACGAGGTTAGGATTGAGCTTTGGGGTTTTTACGTTTGCCAAAGTTACACATGGTTGATGACAAGATATTATTATTAGCAGTCATAACAAACTTCCCCTCCACACTGGAACACATTAAGCAAGCACCCTCCCCGTCTAGTTTCTGCTCCTCCCTCAAGACACATCTCTTCTCCTTGGCCTCATCCATCCCTCCATCCCTAGGTACCCCCCATAATTCTCATTCCCACTAACCTCCCTCCCCATACCCAGACCTATCGCCCTCCCCTCTTTCCCCTCCTCCTCTCATATGCCATCATATCACTTTGTGAGAGGTCTCTGGGTGTCACACCAGCCACATTGCTGGAGGGGCGCCGAGCGCCGGGTGCCTAGGACAAGTTAGCCGCACTTAACAACAGAATCCGGTGTTCAGTGCTTTGTTTAATAAACGCATTGCCTCCTACAACAGTGTGTATGCCTCAGGAACGCCGCGGCAGGAAGGAGTGTCTCAACGACCTCGTCTCTGCCGTCGCTGCTCTCGCAGCCGCCCTGCTGGAGGAGGACGATGACGATGAGATGCCGACGCCGTGTGCGGGAAACGGGCACAGAGGGGGATGTGCGAAAGCCTGCCAACTCTCTCGACGTCCGTGCTGCTTTCACCGTCGCCCTGCAAGCGGGGGATGACTGCAGGACACCATGCCCACGGACTTCAGCGGAAGCTGTTTCCTGCGGGCGTGAAACCGCAGGAGCGTGCGGCACGCCAGAGCCCACCAAAATGTTTAAACCGCCGGAAGGCGCCCTTGCCAATGCCGTCTTCCCGCCGACGCCGCTGGCTCCCACCCGCGGACTAAAGAAGCGCCTTCCTTTCTTCCGGGAATTCACGGTAGCGGGCGGCGACTGGGTGGCATTCCAATGCCGCTTTGTTGCCGCCTGCAGCCTCGTGGAATGGACGGAAGAGGAGGCGCTGCGAGCGCTACCTACGGCGCTCGACGACGATGCATTGGCGGCCCTCAACGCCATTCTCGACGAACAGAAGACAATGCTTACCGCAAGCCCTGGTGCAAATGGGGGCGATTTTTGCTCCAGCCTCCGCCAAGCGCCACAAGTTCTCCACGCAGCAAAGGGGAGAAGCAGAGACGTCCCTCGCTTATCGCGCCGCTCTTCTGGCGTCCACCAAGGCGGAGAGAGACTCCCTGGTCCTGGAAAAGCTGCTGTCGTGGGCCGAGGACCTTCAGGTCATTATACCGGCCACGGAAGATGATGACATCACCTTGCTCAAGGTCACCCGCTGTCTGGAGGCTCACCTCCATATCCGGCGACGACGCGAGATGGTTACAGGTACTGCACCCCCAGTGGAGGAATGAGCAACCACCGGTGGACTGCATCTACAGGTGGGGGTTTTTCGAGTCCTGCAGCGCCGTTGAGGAATTCTGGAGAGGACCGTTGGGGTGGGCGAGATGGGCCGGCGAGGGTTACCCCTCGTCAGAGAGACGGGCCCGTCGTCTGTTTCAAGTGCGGCCTGCCCGGGCATGTCTCCGTGGGATGCCGCACGCGACAAGGAGGATCCTCATCATCGACACTGGCCGCCGATCATCGCTCCTTCTCTTCACCAGGCCCTAAAGTGAGTCGTGGTACGCACAGTCCCCTCACTCACCTCACTCATCGGGTTCGGGGTCACGGGTTGTGAACTTGCGGCGGGGGGCATCTCGTGATGTACCTCGACTTTCGGATCCGGAGTCGCGGGTCGCGGGATTACGTCAGGGTGGATCGCGTCCCGATGAAGGGTTGGTGGGCGAGGGGTGGCCCAAACGCCCCGCGCAATTGACGGCCCTGGGCCGCCGTATTGTGGCGGCGGCAGCGGGTTCGTCCGCGGTCATAGGGACGGTCGAGGTTGTTGACGTATGCCTCCTTGACACCGGTGCGTCGGCCACCATCGTCTCAGACATGTTTTTCGAAAGCTTCCCGCCTACAGTCGTGCGCCATTTTATCCGTCGCGATTCCCTGTTTCGCCGTGAACGGCCAGTCACTACGGTCAGATTTCGGCCACAATTGGCATTGGCGACATTCATTTGTCGGGTCCGGTACTAATTTCCAAATCTTTAGCCGTACCCTGTCTGTTAGGGACCGATTTCCTAGGTAGAATGCCGCTCAAAATCCTGGTGGATCAGGGCTCCATTGAGTTGCCGTCGGGCCGCTGCATGGCTTTCTTGTCATTACCAACTTTGTTTCGCACAGCGAACGTTTTGGTCCCTGCCATGGCGAACCAAATGGTTAAAATTCCCCCCGGGGTGCAGATGCTGATCCCCTTGCAGTTTAAAAAGCACCTAGATCGCAAAATGACTGCGCATGGGTTGTTGATGGTTTCCTCCACCAGGGCGGTTCATGCACAAAATTTGGTTGCAAGCGATAGACAACCTTTTATTCAGGTCCTGAATGTCGGTCCGGATACGTCAATGATTCAAGAGGGCACTGTCTTAGGTCACGCGTCAGCCGCAGGTGGCGTTCATAAAATATAGGTATTGCAGCGGCTGCGGGGCAGGGTGAGGACATTGACGAGGCATGGTTAAACACGCTCTGTTCTGAGAGCAAGGACCTGTCTGATGCACAGAGGCTCGAGCTGCGTGCGCTCTTATTGGAATTTTCCGATATATTTAGTAAATCAGAATTCGACATTGACTGCATGCCTCTATTGCGCCATCACATTGACATGGGAAATCTGGGCCATATTCGTCAAAACCCGTAACGCCTGAGACCTGTGGAGAAGGCCCATGTGCGCCAAGCGGTGGATGAAATGCTGGCCGCAGACATTATCGCTCCCTCCAACGGTCCATGGGTTGCGCCCATCGTGCTAGTAAAGAAACAGGACAGTAGTTTGAAGTTGTGCATGGACTTCCGCAGACTCAATAAAGTCTTTGTGGCGGATGCGTACTTCCGCGGAAGGATGACTCGTTGGAAACGTTGTCAGGGGTGCGGTTTTTCTCCACGCTCGATTTGCTGTCGGGATTTTGTCAGTTGCCCTGAGATGACAGCTCGAGGCCAAAGACTGCATTTCGCATGCCCCATGGTCTTTTCGAGTTCTACCAGCTCCCGATGGGATTGCACTCAGCCCCGGCCACATTTCAACGGCTGATGGAGCTAGTGCTAGTGGGCCTACAATGGGATGCGTGTTTAATTTATCCCGACGATGTCATAGTGTTTGGACACACGTTCGAGGAGCACCTGCAGAGGTTGTGGGCTGTTTTCCTCAAAATGTGGGCTGCTAAATTGAAGTTTAATCCACAGAAGTACTATCTGATGTAGAGATTGGTCAGATACCTAGGCCATATCATCGACGAATCCGGGATTTCGATGGACCCTGACAAAACCGTGTGCGTGTGCACGTGGCCAACCCCCAAGTCGGTTGGTGACGTACATAGTTTTGTCGGGTTCGCTTCTTATTATCGACGTTTCATCCCCAGGTTCACCACGATCGCAAAGCCGCTCCATGTCCTCATGGCCAAGGGCCAGACATTTCGGTGGGGGGCGGAGAAGGCTGCGTTTGCCGAGCTGCGCGACAGCCTGGTCAACGCACCTCCCCTTCGGTACCATCATTTTGATTTGCCCTTCGTCCTCGATACTGACGCTAGTAATACTGGTATTGGCGTTGTTTTGTCGCAGGTGGTGGATGGAGTAGAGCGTGTGGTCGCATACGGCAGTAAGGTGCCTTCTCCGGCGGAGCAATGTTATTGTGTTACACACCGTGAGTTGCTGGCGATTGGTTTTTTTTGTTCAGCAGTGCCGGCCGTACCTCTATGGGCGGAAATTCCAGGTGCGATCAGACCACGCGGCCTTGCAGTACGCACTGCGTGTTGAGAAGCCGTCCGGCCAGCTGTCCCATTGGCTTAAGGTCCTTCAGGACTATGCATTTGAGGTCTCATATAGAAAGGCCGTCCGCCACTCGAATGCTGACGCGTTGTCTGCCAACAGGTGACGAGTGCGCGTGCACATTGGGCGCGGGACGGTGCAGGTCCGCTGATTCCGCTCCGCACCGTGAGGTCGTCCATGCGGCCGATGTCGCGCACACGGACGCAGCTGACACATGTGACCACACGCTCGGTCTCTCCAACTCCAAGTGGGGGCGACTCCAGGCCGAGGATGCCTCCTTGTTAGCCAACAGACGCCGGGTTCGCGACTCTGCAGAGGATGACAGCCGACGACCGTTATCCGCGGTCATTCTGAGAGGGGGCCTCCTCATGCGCTGGGACTCAGAATTACTAAATTATAACGTCGTGGTTTCCACCGTCCTGCGGGGTAGGTTGGTATGGGCAATGCACGAACATCTTATGCATTTAGGGGTCGCGAAAACCCTGTCCACCCTCCGCCTGAACTTCTTCTGGCACGGCATGGGGGCGGATGTCCAAAATGTGCTTAGAGAGTGCATCGCATGTGCCCGCCGGAAACCTCCACCGAAATTGGCATGCCCCCCTCTCCAATCCATTTATGTATCGTTGATGAATGAGCTCATCGCACTCGATATGCTGGGTCCGTTCCCCACCATTCCACGGGGTAACAAGTATCTGCTCGTGGGGGTAGAGTATCTTTCTTGGTGGTCGATGGCCTGGCCGGTTCCGGACCAGTCGGCAGCCACTATTACGGATGCCTTTCTCCACAGGTACGTTCTGGATAAGAGAGCCCCAGAATTCCTCCTTATGGACCAGGACAGAAATTTTTCGTCAAAACTGCTTAAGGAGGTGTGTGACCTATTGGGCACTAAAAAGATCCGCACCTTGCCCTATCATCCGCAGACCGACAGCATGGTGGAGCGCCTAAATAGGTCGCTCACATCCATGCTATGCCATCAGGTCAACGAACAACAGACCAACTGGGACTTGCATGTTCCAGGGGTCCTGGCCGCATATAGATTGGCCTCCCATGCGTCCACCAGCTACTCACCTTTTTTTTCTATGTATGGGAGGAAGCAAGATCTGCTCATTGACGCACAGCTAAATCCGCATCTGGCTCAAAAGAAACAGCCCAACCCCGTAGGCTTACCCTCCCGCGCCTCCCGCGGGAATTTGGCTTTGAAGCAAGCTGCTAACGAGCGGCAGTTAGGTGCCTGGGAGACTGGGACCAAATGAACCAGTCGGGGATGGGGCGATGCTTCATTGCCCCCAGGTTCCCGTAGGGATGTCCCCTAAGCTCTACAAACCATGACGGGGGCCCATGGAGATCATCAAGGTAAAAAGGCCGCAGAGCATCCGCATACAATTCGGTCGAAGGCGCTGGTTTGTACATACAGTTGCGCCTCAAATCGTTTTGTCCGCTGGATGACGCTCATTCATCTCAAATCCCTGGGGGCTGTGTTTCCGGTGTGCCCAACGAGCCAAGGCGCGCATCCACGGGAATGATGCCTCAGAGATGTTCCACCTCTTCCCCCTCAGGGTCCCAGCTACTGAGGTCTGGGGAGCGCAAGTCAGGGGCGGACAACCATCGTCGGGTCCTTTCTCTCCGGTCGGGCGGCCTTCTCCTTCGCCACCTAGAGAGGGGCCGCGGGCCTCGGGCCAGCCTTGTCACACGCCGGAACCACCCGCGGAGGTCTCCCCTAACCATCGGCTGGCGGTCTCGCTCGCGAGCCGGGGGGGGGAGCCGGGGGTGGACCTGGCCCCATCCTTTGCTACGTGGGGGGGGGGGGGGGGGAAGGCATGCGTACGGTGGTGGGACGGGGCTGGCTGTCGGGAGGGTGAATCACCCCTTGAGATTGCAGTCCTTTCTTCTTTTAACTCACGGCTCTTGTGTTGTGTTGTTGGGGCACGTCGTCCGGGATTATTGTTACGCTTACCATTCACATTACATTTGGGCTCGCGCTTTGTTGAGAAATTGGCGGTGAGACGAGTTGAGGAGTTTTTTTTGGATTGTTCGGAAATTGTTCTCCTCTACTCCTTCCATTCGGGGTTTCACAGCCAGGTCGGCTGAAATTTTATAAAAAGGGGGGGGGGGTAGTGTAGAGACACAGTTAAAGATCTCTGGGTGTCGCCCCAGCCACAGTGCTGGAGGGGCGCCGAGCACCGGGTGCCTCGATTGGTGGAGTTAAGGGCATGTGACCAGAAGCAGGGAGCCCTGGCCTTGATACAGCAAGGGGCATGGCCGAAGGCGGAGCGGAGGTGCGGCCAAGGGATAAAGGGAGAGCGCCAAGGGGATTCGGGGCTCGTTTCAGGGATCAAGCAAGAAGGGGAGCTTGGCTTGGACGCCGCTCGTCGTGAACGTGGAGTTTAGCCGGGAAGCGTGGTTAGTGAGCAAGTGCTACAGACCCATTCGCTAGCTAACACACACGCACATAGTGGGCAGCCTAGGACAAGTTAGCCACACTTAACAACAGAATCCGGTGTTCAGTGCTTTGTTTAATAAACGCGTTGCCTCTTACAACAGTGTGTATGCCTCAGGTCGTCATACACTACACATTTATAACTCTTGTAAAGCGCCTTGGATATAATGCGCTATATAAATATAGGTAAGATTGTGCAGTGTATTTATTTGGGAAAGCGTCACTGATCTTGAGGTTACTTTCAAGGAGGTGCCTGCGCTGGACCAGAGCCAACAGTGAAGATGATCACCACCCTCATCGCTCAAGTGGAACAAGCGGAATGGTTTTAATTGCTGCACATGAGTTTCCGACGTTTTCGTTTTTAAAATTCAATGTCAAGCAGAAGAAAACATGAAAAAGGACTGCATTGGTTTGTGTTTATAAAAGTCAACGTCTCTCCCCAAATGAATGAGGCAATGCTTGTCCTCCACATGTCTGATGGTGGGGTTCACAAAACAAAAGATATTGAGAATGTAGAAAGTGGTACTCAATGTACAATTCCTAGAGGAATGATGACGATGATGATGATGACCTGAGTGGATCCTTGACTGGCATTTTAACTCATGGTCTTCCCAACTGTGATTCAAATGGCAACCGTAGCGCCATTCAGCCAGAAGACGCGCAGGCGACGGCTATTCTTATAATTAAGGCTACGATTTTGACGCATTTAGGTGGAGTAAATGTACGGCCGCGATGTGGGGAAATAAACAACGGCACAAGGGAAGGTCAAGGGGACACGGTGAGATGGCGGCTGCTTTGTTGTAATAATTTTTTAAAAATAAAAAACATTTCAAATAACCGCTTAAAAGTTTTAACAAAAATGCCACCAAGTGGCTAGTTTAAGTCATTCTCTTAAGTTGTTTTATTTTGACAGACTCAATAAAAATTAAACATAGGGCTCCTAGTTTTCATCGCAACAGCCCGATTTCTCTCATCATCCCTCCACCCCCACTACACCCCTCCACCCCCCTCCACCGCCCCCACAGCCGATGCACACTGAAAAGACGGCCCACGCTGTCGGGCGAAATTCGAAAAAGGCGAGTAAAGTAAGCGCCGATTCTCACGTATTTCCGTGACCACCTCCAAGACTTCACTGATGTCTGCTCAAAGTCAACGTCAGCCCTCTCCAGTTGCGAGCCTCATTTCGGTATCGGGGCGTTACACACCGGGGATCTCGGCATGCAGCAGCGACAGCAGCTTGAGCAGGAAGATGGGCAGCCAGCAGAGTGCGTCAGTGAAGACGATGAAGAAGAAGCGCTTGGCGATGCCGATCTCCTTGCTGATGCGGTTGCACAGTTCGGCTGTTTGGAGGCCCGTGCGCCGTACACTGCAGAACATGCTGATGTAGCAAAAGACGATGGTGACGAACGCTATGAGGTTCACTCCTGCACACCGCACAAACAAGAGGGGTTAAAGAGGACTTCAGCAACGCCAGTGCAGGTCAAAGGAGAGAGAAAAAAAAGCAGCGGCAATCAGTCAAATCCTTCATTTCAGAAGCCAACGTGTCTCGAAGCTTAAAACAAGTTCCAGGCAGAGCTCATATCCATTTGTAGCCATGAGCCAGTGGTATGATCTTCACATTTTCGTGAATTCCTGAGGAGGCCAGATATTTCAGAGGTCACACCACTGAGCTGTTACCATGGAGATCCTGTATCTGCATCTGGGATTCAGCCATTATTAAAGCAGGTGCTAGAGTGTTTTGAATTGGTGGTTATAGTCCAGACACTAATGAAAACATGAATAACCCCATGATACAAATACAATTTTCCTTATTTCTGAGTAGCACGGCTATAACACATACAATTTGTAAATACATTGGAAAATTACATGCAGTGACCACTCCTTAGAGAACATGCAGGAACGCTATAACATCTTAGAGGTGCCACAATGGCGAGATGTTAACTACCTTGCCCCATACACAGGAGGTCGTGGGCTCGATCCCGACTCTGACGCCTGTATATTTGGAGTTTGCATGTTCTCAGAGTCGCGTGGAATTTTCTCTGGATTCTCCGGTTTTTCCCTCCATATTTAGATTCAACATCATGCATTTAGAGTATTTGGGTGCTATAATCGTCCACATGATGAGCCACTTTGTTGAGCGTGAATTTGAGGCCAGGATCACTTCTGAAAAAGAGCTATGTAGCTCAGTGGGCCTGACCTGGTAAAATAAAAAATTGTTTAGTTTTAGTTGGTATTCAATTGACACGAGAGGTAGTTCTTTGGTATCATCGTCTGGGATCACTCCCTGATGCAATATTAGGTTTTATTGAGTCACAGAGGTCACAGATGTCCGATGTGTTTTCGGACTGCACCATGTGTTGTTCGAGCGGGGATGTCTGACATTTCAATCCACATGCTCGGAGCTTCTTCCGCTCCGAAGCATTTCATTTCCTGAAGACGCTGCCAGTACATGCAGCGAAGCATTGGACACCATGCCAAACAACACGTGGGAAAACACATTGGAGAGCGACGCAGCACACCCGTGAAAGCCTACACAGTGACAGAGATTATAGTAAGAACAATCAGTCAAAACACAACGCATATCTGAGACTCCCATGATTCACAGCACAGTATGATGGAAGCCAACAATGGTTGCTCTTTGGATGTTTCAGTGCCTGCGCTGGAAATGTGGAATTCCCACCACATTTTCTGCATCGCCATCTTTTTAACACGTACAGTTGCATCAGTGAGACTTTGAATTTGGGTCAAAAATTAGTGACGCAAGTGCTGTTTATAAAATGGACTTTACTTTAAGAATAAAATTAATGCCAAATCCCCGTGGGGTGGGCCCTCACCCGGGTAGGCCCTCACCCGGCGTATGCAGTACAGACCCTTATTAGAATGATTGCATTTGGTTCATCCAAGCCGCAGTTGCGTACATAATACACACATGTGTCCATGATTGTCCGCATTGAAACAGTATAATTTATTTGCAATGGTGAGATATAACTCGCAGCCATATCTTTTGAGCATCAATAATGGAGCAGTAAGAAAAAAGCAGGTCTTTTGATAAGCATTGACAATGTAATTATTTTCTCCCCAGGAGATGCACGCACATGGTTCCCTTGGAATTGTATGTTATATCCTGGTGTGTTTGTCATCAAACTGCCTTGACTTCCCCCAATGAAGTTGTACGCCGTGATGAATAGCATGATTAAATGGACGACGTACGATGTTTACCTTACAGCTAACGTGAGAACATTCAGAGTATTTTCCGTCCTGCATCTGCACCCCCCCCACCCAGAATGTGCCAACAATCTATTAGATTACTAGCGGGAAGTACCCGGCGTTGCCCAGGGGCAAAATATATTTAAAACTTTCACTTAAAATTCTAAATGTAACATATACACACTATTGTGAAAGCCAGGCAGGCCATTTGTCTGTATATTTGTCCATTAACAAAATTAAAAGAGGCTTGCAGAAGTCCAAGAAGTTATATAAAGTGGGGGGTAGGTAGCTGATCTAAAAGGTTTCTTAAAATTGTCGACCCCCCCCCCCCTCAAAAAAATGTTTTGCCCCCACGTAGGCATATATACCTACACACCCTACATACAATAGAGTGAGTAGTATCTAGTGACTCAATAGCAGTATCTGAATATACTGACTCTACAGTAGTATATATTGACTCTATAGTCGTATCTACAGACTCTATAGTAGTGTAGTGTATGATATACATGGAGCCACACACACTATAAGTTGGAGGCAATACGTTTAATAAACGTCTATGAACACTCTGAGTCCGTTTGCTAGGTGTGGCTTTCTATCGCTATGTGCGTGTGAACTAAACAAACGGGTCAGCAGCATATAGCAGTATCTACTGACTAGATGTGGTATCTATTGACTCTATAGTAGTATCTACTGACTCTATAGTAGTATCAACTGACTCTATAGTAGTATCTGCTGACTCTGTAGTTGTATCTACTAATTGTACAGTAGTATCTAATGAGCCACGTAGTAGCACTGACTGTATAGTTGTATCTACTGACTATAGTAGTGTAATAAAGGACTCTCTCTCAGATGTCGATCTCCGTTGTCCTTTATTGGATTCGTAGAATCTCCGTACCACGGCGTCTCGCTCAGGCCCGCGTCCCGCTCGACGACCTCTCCACAGCCCTCGGCTGCTCCGTTGTGCAGGCTCCCTGCTGTTCCAATATGCAGTCTCACTGCTGCCCCGTCAGGCGATCCTTGCAGCCGCACCGCTGCCCCGCTCTCTAGCGTCACTGCTGCCCCTTACACAGCTAGCCTCTCACTGCCCTGTTAGCTCTCTAGCGTCTGACACCGATGGCCATCGGTGTCGACGTCTCCCACCGCGTGCCAACCGCGCCACACTCTCCGTCTTGCCCAGCGTGGCCTCCTCGTATTTCACTCCGTCTCAACTCCCCCTTCCCCTTTCGGTTCTCTCCCTAAATCCTCTCCCCCACGTGACCCTAACTCCACCCACTCCCCACGTGACCCAGACTCCACCCCCCCTCAATCCTTGCTCGCATTACAGTAGTAACTACTGACAGTAGTATCTGACCCTACAGTAGTATGTACCGCCTGTATAGTAGTAGCTACTAACTCTATAGTAGTATCTGCTGACTCTATAGTAGTGTAGGACTTGGAATATGGCGCGCCACGCGTTCTCTTGCGCTGTTGCTATGCAAGAGAGCAGTGTACAGTGGGGGGGTATTTGAGGACGATGTTGTTGTTGCTGAGGCGTGAGGAAGACGCCGTTAAGTGGCGTAACAGGTGTTAAGGGTAACCGGGGATACAGGCCGGTGATTGGTTAAGAGGGTGAGTGCTTAATGACTGGCGTCGCCCAGGCGGGAATAACAAGGCCACGTGAGGCTGGGGGCCTGGGGGCGAGGGGTAAAGCGGGGGGTGAGATAATTAATAGGGACTGATTGGGGTGGAAGCTGGAGTGATGGTGGCCGGTGATGGAGAGTACGGTAACGGTGATAAATAGAGCAGAGAGTACGGTAACGGTGATAGAACGGAGAGCACGGTAACGGTGATAGAGAGAGAGCAGAGAGTACGGTATTTGGGATAGAGAGAGAGAAGAGTGTAGAGTAGAAGAGAATCGTACGGACTTTGGGAGAGAGAGAAGAGTGTAGGGTAGAAGAGAAGCGTATGGACTTTGGGAGAGACGGAGAGAGCGGAGCGGGATTGCGGAGCGAACGGGGAGACACGGAGCGGTGACGATGAGGAGGTGAACTCTAAGTGAATAAAGCGAACGGAAAAACAACCCGAGTACGAGTCCTACACTAGTATCCACTGACTGTAGTAGTATCTACTATCACTATAGCAGTATATACTGACTGTAGTAGTATCTACTATCACTACAGTAGTATATACTGACTGTAGTAGTATCTACTATCACTACAATAGTATATACTGACTGTAGTATTAGCTACTATCACTACAATAGTATATACTGACTGTAGTATATACTATCAATACAATAGTATATACTGACTGTAGTATTAGCTACTATCACTACCGTAGTATATATTGACTGCAGTAGTAGCTACCATCACTACAGTAGTATCCACTGACTGTAGTAGTAGCTACTATCACTACAGTAGTATATATTGACTGTCGTAGTAGCTACTATCACTACAGCAATACATACTGACTGTAGCAGTATTTGCTATCGCTACAGCAGTACATACTGTATCTGCTATCGCCACAGCAGTACATACTGACTGTAGCAGTATCTGCTTTCACTAAAGTAGTACATACTGACTGTATCAGTATCTGCTATCACTACAGTAGTACATATTGACTGTAGCAGTATCTGCTATGACTACAGTGGTACATACTGACTATAGCAGTATCTGTGCTCATTACAGTAGTAGCTACGATCACTACAGTAGTATATAATGACTGTAGTAGTAGCTACTATCACTACAGTAGTATCTGCCGACTCTATAGCCATATATACCGACTCTGTAATAGTATCGATCGAGTCTATAGCAGTTAACTATTAACTTAAGAGTGTCGTGGTGAGGCCTAGTCCCTTGCAGAGCCCCCAGCCTCGCCTAGATTGCCCAGCCGGCCAAGGTGGCACCTTGGCAGGCTGGGGCTGGGCCACTACACCCCCCCCCCCCCCACCGCTCTACAGTAGCAGTAACTACAAACTCTACAGTAGTATCTACCTACTCTACAGTAGCATCTACCTACTCTTTAGTCGTATATACCGACTCTATAATAGTATATATCGACTCTATAATACTAACTTCACAGAGTGCCGTGGTGAGGCCTAGCTGGCCGGTTTGGTGCCTTGGCCGGCTGGGGCTGGGCCGCTACTCCCCCAGCCCACCATCCCCCCGCCCGCACTACAGTAGCAGTATCCACGGACTATAGTATTATCTACTGACCCTATAGTAGTAAGTGCACACATTGGGGTGGAGGGAAAGATCATGACATCACACACAGCGTCGTTTTTTTTTGTGACCCCTGTGTTTCCTCTGTTACAGTCACTCATCCCTTGGCCCTTTCACACCCCTGCCATCTAAATCACTCTATTTTCGTAACCGCTTTTAGACTATGTAAAGTGCCTTCAGCTAAGGCGCTCTAGACATATAAAATAAGTCCACTGTGGTCTCATTTTATTGTCAACCAACTAAATTAAGCAATCAGATAAAGTTGTGTGAGGGCTGAAAGGGTTATTCTTTCAACTCTCCGGTGAGGTAGAAGAATGATAATTTGCATGTAAAATTTTTACACACCGCATGACAATTTTATTTATTTGGCTGTGGAGAGTCTTCACGACAAAAATTGCGGGACCAAACCTGAGGCCTAACAAAAAAATCTACTTATGGTTTGTGATATTGGCTGCGATAAACCAAGTAGGTGCTGGCTAATACCACTCGCCAATTTGTAATACAAGGCTGAGTGAGGGATCTTTGTGTGTGTGTGTGGCCACACCACCCCCTCGTGTGCCTTCATAAGTGCTGCTGCTACTCGCTACGTACAGCACGTATCCCTCGAGCCTGTTAAGAGGCTACATGGGGGGCCTTTGTCTTTGTAACGTATGGCACACCAGCCTTCACAGCCAGCTGAGAGTTTATGAATATGTTGTTTTGTGGATGGGCTGTTACCTAGGAATATGGCCACGGAGTAGGCCTGAGCCCCGGGCCTCTCGGTCTGGTCCGAGTGCAGTGGGAAGCAGACCCCGTTGCGGCCATAATAATTCCCAAAGAAGTCTTCATTCCACAGTGGCGTGAAGGCGACGGCGAATCCCAGGAGCCAGATAGCGGTGAGAACGGAGAAGGTGCGGCACCGCTTCGGCCTGAGCGACAACGGAAACTGCTTCAGTTCACATTACACTTTGCTAAGGTTGCCACCTCTGGGGTAAAAAAAAACCGAGACATATCATATCGTATCATCATGTCAAGGAGCATAAACCATCATGCGAACTCAGGTTATCCTCGCAGCGACTTTCACCTGGCCATCGAACAAAGACGGCCACCGCATCGCGCGTTTTTCAAATGTGCTTCTGCGGCCGTCTGGAAGGCTCTTCCTTCCAATATTGTGAATCCACTGGAGCTATGCACTTTTTAATCTAATTTCAAAACTAATTTCTTTAGAACTGGTTTTAGTGTTTTGTTTGTTGTAACTCCTGCACGTGCGATTACCACGGTTGGCAATGTACGGTGCGAAAGAGATTCAACATACATACATTCATACATGTTTATGCATTTTCTTGAGTGGTGTATTATAAGACCTTCAGATATGCCAGGACAGCTAACTCAAATAAAAAATTATCCTGGAAAGAAAATGGAACAAGTGGCAAACCTGTTAACAGTAAAACATGATAAATACTGCTGCGCTGCCTGATGTCATCGGCAAGAGCCATCCTCCATGAACACCGTGGGCCCGTTCAGCGCAGTATCTAATTACATGTTGTCTTGGTAGAATGGGAAAGTGCGGCACAGTACATGAGGGGATGGGAGTGGTGTGGCCAGAACCACGCTTGGCCGTCTTTGTCTCCCCAGTATTGATATGTACACTGCACCAGGTACTCATTTGAGGCTGAGTCAACTCAAGAGAGGATCAGCACTAGTTTGGACATTCTTCACTGATGGCAGTAGGAATTTAACTCAGGTCAACAGATCTCACCAATACCATAAAAAGTATATATTTGTACGTTTAATTGAATGAAAAATGCATTGAGCTATACAGCTCTTTTTCAAAAGTGACCTGGCCACGAATAATATCTCAATGAAGTGGCTCATCATGTGGAAAATTATGAAAGCCAAATACCCTAAACGCATGTTTCTAAATGTGAAAAATCGGATGACTCGTAGAAAAATCCACGTGACCACGGTGAGAACATGCAAACCCCAGATATACAGACGTCAGGGTCAGGATGGAACCCACGCACCTCCTGTATACCAGGCGAGGTAGTAAAATTCTCGCTACCATGACCTCTCAGTACTTAGAAGAAAGCGCTCCAAAGAACTCAGGGACCTTATTGGAGTGTAAAATGTAATAATTTCTTACAAATATTGCGGGGATAATCCATTGGGCATCTTGTAGGTCATTGTTTAAATCCGGGAAGCTGCCCTGGTGAATAGCGCGGGTGTATTAACCATCAAGATATGCAGTTCGCTTTGCAGCGGACGTTAGCGATCTCTTGGCGTCTTCTGAAATTAGTGGGTTATTGTGTGCTGGCATCATGGTTCAAATTTGAACATCTGAAACAATTACAGTACAGTACTCGTTTGGAATTACACATAGCAGCGTCGTTTCCCCCTGCTGGCGGACTACATCCGTCTGAGAAACGGCGCATTCACGATAGCCACGTGCTGTAACGATGGTATATGTATGTATGTTGAACTCTTTTCGCACTGTGCGTAGCCAACCGTGCTAATCGGAGTTGCGGGCGAAATATCAAACGCACCGGATTACAATGATCGTAATTTGTAGAGGCGCACACCTGAAGTTGCTGAAGGGAAAGACGATGCAGAGGTACTTCTCGATGGTGAGATAGGTGAGCAGGAGCACCGAGACCTCGGTGGACAGCATGGCGAGGGAGCCCATGATGCGGCACGGCACGCTGGCCATCCAGAGCTGTGCGTGGCGGTTGTACTCCCCGCGGTAGCGCAGGTCGTACGCCCCCACGAAGAACAGGTAGATGCCCATGAGGCAGTCGGCGCCTGATACAGAGGGTGCACATGATGGCATGCTATGGGGTGGTGACTTAACTCCTTTCCTGTTTGCGAGAGGTCTGCAAAGTCGGTACGGTGGGGTGGGGTCCCGTAAACCGCTGAATCTCGGATCGCGCGAGCGGTTCAGCATTGATTTTATTTAGAGAGGCGTAGCGCTGCTGTTTTTAAAGACACTGGACTCACGTAGAGAACTGCAATGACATGATCGCACTCCATGATAGCTGGTACCAAATTATGCCACACGCCCTCCCACATGGCATCATGGGAGCCTCGGAACCGATAAATTATTGTATTTATTCATTCCGATGACGTACACGGAATTGGAAAAAAACTGATGTACGTCATCTGAATGGGAATGGGTTAACAGACTAGTGGAGTGTTAGCGACACAGTACATGAGGGGGTGGTATGGCCAGAAGCATGCTTGGTCGTCTTTGTCTCCCCAGGCTCAAAATCAGTTTAGACATTCCTCACTGATGTCAGCAGGAATTGAACTCGGGTCGCCAGATCCCACAAATAGCATACAGAGTATATATTTTAACGTTTAAGTATTATTAATTTAATGAAAACTGCGCTTTTAAATCGTAATTGAAAACGAATTTCTTTAGAACTGCTTTGTGCGTTTCGTTTATTGTCCTTCCCCAACACCTCCGATTTTCACAGTTGGCTACGTACGGTGCGAAAGAAGTTCAATATACATATGAAAATAGGTCCTGTAGTGCTGGCTACGCCAAGTCAGTGATGGGGAATTTCTGTTCTTTTATTTTTTTTCTCAATCTTTGGTTGGCCATTGCTTGCCCTATTTGCCAATTAAAATTATAATAACGTGGCATGCACATTCTATCAAGAGAGATGTGTTTATTCTGCATGCTAATTTGTGTGATCTGAACATATTCTGTGGCTTTATTTGAAGGCCAATACATTGCGTGATGTATCATATCGAAATTTGCAGACTTACCTGACAATTGCTAAGTTATTAGATTGTCCTTGACCAAACAATTTCTGGAAGTTCATGCCTACAACACCAATGCGGTGGATATTTCTGTTTCGTCCAAAGCTCAGGCAAGCCAATCGTGTAACTTGGTATATGGATGATGAATGGAAGTTAAAATGCTAATAGCCACATTAACCCCCTCCCTCGGGATAGAGCAGTGGCACAGTGATTAGTGGACTACACTGAGAAGTCAGATACTTGAGTTTAAATTCCAGGCTAACATCAATAAAGATAAAAATGCATTCCTACACTTGCCCGCTCATGCCACTGTTGGTGGAAAAGCCTCCACAACAGAGAACTCTAGAGAGGCTATATTGGCCTACTCTTCCACCCTGGCAAGACGTCTTAGAAGACGTGGGAGTACCAACACCTTATCCCACCACACGCGACCTGCCGATCGACTAACTGTGGCGCACCCATCGTTTCCGATGGGTGCCCAGGATTTAAGAGACTTGGCCACTGTTCAAATATTTCGCCGGGAGACCGAACCAGTTGGCCTCCGGATTGCAGGTCTAGTGTGATAGCCACGATACCACGGCAGCATCATCATCAACAGCGAGTGTGATAATCGAACTGGTCCTGAGATCCCCCCCCCGACCCACCCCTTTGCAAATTAGCATTGACCATTGTGGAGTATGGTAAAACAACCCCCCCCCCCCCCCCCATGGGAGGCCTTAATCATGCATTTGGATTTCCAAAGGGGTTTCGAAATTTCCACAATTTTTTTGGTTTATTTTAAATAAAGGGGTATATCCCGAGCACCAGAACATGCGCTCTTCATATTACTTGCAATTCGGGCTATTTAGGTGGCGGGGGAGGGCGGGGAAACTATTGCTAATAATGAAAGCTTTATTAAAGTGATTATATCGGTAAAAAGGTGATAAGTAATCCATATAACCTATTCTGATGCAATAGAAAAACAATATTTTTTGTTAATCACTTTCTTTACGTTTTAGATGGCAATTAATTTGTTTTTCATTTCACGTACCCGTTGTTTTGCAGAATTGTATGCATTCAAACAGACATGTTTAAATAGTTTACTCCAAAAATTTCGAGATGTCTTTTTTAGTGGATTTATAGATTACGTTAGATAAAGATTTATGTTTTATTTTTTTACATTTACTTTTAAAGGCAAATTTATTTCGTTCATTTGGCTTGCGCAATACACTTTGTATTCTTTCCACGTCTGGTGGTAACTGATTTGAATGTCACACGCAGTGCACATCATACAGAGTGGCAGTCGTAATGTATATATGGATAAACCGGCCCCCAAGATAAGAATATAAAATATCCACTACTGGCTCAGTACTGCAAATGATTCGCCCTGCCGTAATGCCCATAACAGCATAGAGGCATGTTGACTTAACTTCAAATGTATAACTCCAGTATACATAATTGTCCATTATGCATGCATTCAAACAGACCATACAAATGTCTTACACATATACACACTCATAGTTGTGCACATTCAGTCTATTTAGAACATATTTCGATTTCACATTCACAGTAACATTTCTCTGCAAATAAAAATAATAATGACGTCTTAGCACTATTGTTGAAATCCCAAAAGTCATTGGAAGTCATTGCTATATTTCTTGTAGCTTTTTCCCCCCAAGTTAAGAATAACAATACAACTATACCTATAATCAACACAAAAATGTCCATTAAATCTGCTGACCTAATTAAAATGTCATTCCAAATTTACAAGAAATGCTTTGGATCCCATTTATCAAGCCTGAAATCTTAGAACACGGTAAACGAACGCTGTATACACGTGTCATCGACATACATTCTGCCAAAATTGCATAGACTTGTTATTTTACAGAGTATTATTTCAAACGCACAGCAGAGCCATTACACAACACAATCGTGGAGCCAGCCAAGTGGCAACATAGTTTGAGCACTTGCCTGACAATTGGAAGGTTCTGAGTTAATATCCGACTGGGCAATTCAATCAGCTTATCATCCTTCCAGAGTTAAACAAAGGAGTAACACTCAATGTGGGAAATTAACAGAGGTTCTCCAATTCTTCAGAAATAATTTTACACTTGGTTTTACGCAGGAGACTCTCCCCTGAGTCTCAAGACTCTTTTTCAAAAGGGTCCTGCCAAGTTTTCGTGATGTTGCTACATGCAATACCGACTGAATGATTTGCAGGAGATCAATTTTTTGCATCGAGATGTTTGGCCAATACCAATTAAATTTTACCCGTGAGTAGAAAACCAGAGGACCCAGAGGAAGCCCATGCAAAACTGGGGAAGACCATACAAACGTCACGCAGGAAGGCGCCCGAGTCGGAAATCGAACCCAGGCCCTCCTTGCTGCGAGACTACGAGTGTTACTGCTACGTCGATTTGTCTGTGCCACAACATAATTGCATTTTTTACCACAGACTCAGGGCGGCCAAACAGAGGAAACGAGTGGCGGTCCCAATGCTCATCAGCACTTGGGTCAGACAGAAGCAGTCGCCCGTAGTGCGGTGGCCGTGGGCGGCGTGGTGTGGCCACTTACAGCAGAGCGATTTGATGGACAGGGCGTGCAGCTGATTCTCGGCGCGGATGTACGTGCGCATGCACACCACGAAGAGGTTCCCGAAGCATGTGGCGAAGGCCACCACCCACACGAAGACGCGCAGCACCACGTTGGCGAGGAGGTCTTCGAAGGACGAGATGCCGTCCGTGTTGGGCTTGCAGCTGCGCACGTGCGGAGCGTAGCCACAGTACTGGAACTTCTTAAAGTATCTACATAGACAGAATTGTAAAAAAAATTTACACTTAAGTCTCACGTAGCGAGTACAATGCCAGCGCTGTTTTGGTGAATATAACCCCTTAGGATAAATAAGGACTGTGTATCCATTCCATGGACAAGAATGTTAAACATTTTTGTTACGTATTTTTTTGTTGTAAAAAATGCAAAAAAAACATGTTTTGAAATTGCTAATTCAGTTCTCGGATGTCCAGGCCAAAAATGCATCAGAAAAAACCGGTGGTCTGTTCAAGTTACTCATACTATTTTTTATTCAGGCCAGTCTAGCTTGTGGGCTTAGTTGATATGGAAGTGTTGCAATCGGTGAGTGAGTAGCACGTTTTGTGCACTGTGACTGGTACAAGCTTGGTATGGCCAAATTTAAGGATAGCTCTCTGTCCAGTTGCAAAGTGGAAACATACATCCTTGCCTATGCGTAGTCTGTCAAGCTTATATCAGAAATATTTACTCATTGTTTTCTGCATTCAGAAGTATTTTAATTACACAATAGTTATCAATAATAAAATAACAAATTTACTATGGAGAGTATGACCCTTGCCATAAGAATATGGAATTTCTACTATCTTCTCTGGGCCACAAAAACATATGCATGTCACTCTGTAGATAATTTCAGCCTCGGAATTGCATTGACTGGACTGACAAAGGGCATCATCAATCCATTTCTGACTGAGAGCATGGGCATGCCGTGAGGATCATGGGGGCCTTTTAACCATACTTTATCAGTACGGGTTTGGGAAGACATAGAGCTTCGATGTGGGAGCATATAAGTAGAGTACAACAATTTATTTAACTGTATTGCCCTGTGTTGCTCACCATTGTCGCCCACACAGCAACACTATGACAATTAATTCATGCGTGGTGGTCACCCATCCAAGCACTATCCAAGATCAAAACCTGTGTATATTTGAGATCTGACGAGACTGGGCACATTCCAAATGATTCGGTCGTAGAAAAAAAAACACGTAGGAAATGTCTGTTAGGTAACAGAACATTGTTATTCTTTCATGTTTTAAGCTACGTATGTTATTGATGATTAGCACAAAACCACAGATTCAAAAAGTACATTTACTGTGTCCTGAAAAACAAAGTGTGTTATTATTGAATGTGGATAATGGGAATCAGCTCAATCTAGATTTGAAGTTTTCGTGACTGCAGGGATCCATACTCTTTTGTTCTTTCGGTAAAGTCACGTAGGTATAAAATAATTTAAATCACGAAGTTTCGATCGCAACACAAGCAATTATCATCAGGTGGGAAAACCACAGCAATTTTTTTTGCTGTGGTTATTTTTATTTTATACCTACGTGACTTTACCGAAAGAACCAAAGAGTATGGGAATCAGCTCCTTAAATGAATCAACTTGTGCTATCGTCACATCAACCCAAATTGCCAAAGTGAAAATTTACCCAGTTGAATCGTTTTGTAATAATTTTACTTCGCTTTTAATCGAAATAAACATGAAGGGGGGAAAAAACTTCACTTCCGCAAAAACCGAGTCCTCGGCCAGTTGGGACAATCCAGAATCCCAATGACAGATACTGGACCCCCACGTGGCACCCATTAATTCTAGACTTGAAGCTTTCGTGACTGCAAGGAATCATATTCTTAGGTGTTTTCGGTAAAGTCACGTAGGTAAAACATCAAAATTAATAAAAATAATAAAATAAAATAAAGATCACGACGTTTCGGAGGCAACACAAGTCTCCGTCATCAGGTGGGACAGTCACAGCCAGATCAGCTGCATCAAGTGAGGCAATGATTCAAGATGTAATCCCTTAAAAGCGAGTTGAGGGGGGGAGGAGAGGGGGGGGGGGGGCTCATCAGAATGTGGTAGCCAATGAATGGAAAGTATCGGGAGAGAAGGGCCAACAAAAAGGTGGGCGACGGCGTAGAAGCTATTGTGCGCAAGCGACACACTGCTGCCCACGCCAACGCATAGGGCAGAGAGGGGGGAGGGGGGAGGTCTGATACACATGATAGAAAAGAAAAGAAAATGCGTATGTTTATACCAATGCTGGCTAAACAATGAAGAGATTACTGTTAAACACTGGGGAAGTTAACACTCGGTAAAGTAAAGTAAACAAGTGTCTGTCAGATAAGATGGTCAAAAAGTGTAATTAAGTCTTTTTTGCGTGGTTAATAACATCTTTCCAATGATTACTAAGTTTGTACCCATTATCACGGTTGAAATTATGTCTGTGTTTGTATATTTGTATGGCTTCGTGTACAAACCTTTGATGGTAGCCAGGAGGTTTGCAGAGAACCTTGGTCTCGGAAAAGACAATTTCATGAGAGCCCACTGAGTTGTAGCAATGATCGGCAACGGCCGAAGAATTAGTTCTGCCGTGTTTCAGATCGTGTCCGCGAGCACAAGTCAGATCTGAAACACGGCAGAACTAATTCTTCGGCCGTTGCCGATCATTGCTACAACTCAGTGGGCTCTCATGAAATTGTCTTTTCCGAGACCAAGGTTCTCTGCAAACCTCCTGGCTACCATCAAAGGTTTGTACACGAAGCCATACAAATATACAAACACAGACATAATTTCAACCGTGATGATGGGTACAAACTTAGTAATCACAGCATTGGTATAAACATACGCATTTTCTTTTCTTTTCTATCATGTGTATCAGACCTCCCCCCTCCCCCCTCTCTGCCCAATGCGTTGGCGTGGGCAGCAGTGTGTCGCTTGCGCACAATAGCTTCCACGCCGTCGCCCACCTTTTTGTTGGCCCTTCTCTCCCGATACTTTCCATTCATTGGCTACCACATTCTGATGAGCCCCTCCCCCCCCTCTCCTCCCCCCTCAACTCGCTTTTAAGGGATTACATCTTGAATCATTGCCTCACTTGATGCAGCTGATCTGGCTGTGACTGTCCCACCTGATGATGGAGACTTGTGTTGCCTCCGAAACGTCGTGATCTTTATTTTATTTTATTATTTTTATTAATTTTGATGTTTTACCTACGTGACTTTACCGAAAACACCTAAGAATATGTGGCACCCATTGTTATTTTCCAATGAAGCAGTACTTATTTTGTCAACCACGGAGAAAACTGGGTGACTCAGGGAGTCAGAGCGCTGAGCCAGCACCACAGAGATCCTGGATTTGATTTTCCCAGATCTCAATGCAGTGGGTTGATAGTCTCAGTCCAGTCACCAATAATGGCACGAAAACAAAACGCACATTGAATATCGTTTTTACATTAAATTGCCTTATTTGAACAATGAGCATTGCATTTTTCAGTTTGATAACATTGCGAAAAAAATATGTGCAGGGCATCAAATGTGTAGCTAAAGATGTATATTCGTGTGAAGTCAGCAGTTAACCCTTTCCCGTTCCAAGACGTCTGCAAGTTGCAGGGTGGGGTGGTCCCGTTCACTGCTGAATCTTGGAGCGCGCAAGCAGTTCAGCGTTATTTAATTTCGAGAGGCGTAGTGCCGTTGTTTAGAAAGACATTGTACTCACCACAGAGAACTGTAGCGATACGACCGCACTCTATATGATAACTGGCACGAAACTATTCCGAAATTAGGAATTTCGATCGGATCATTGGGGGGCACGTGCCACCCCCTCCCCCCCCCAATTGGCTCCGCCAGTGGTCTCCGGTCTTTGCGCACGTGGACCAGGCAGCGTGTTGGTTGCCCTGGTCCGATTTAGTAGTTATCCCATCCAGTATGGATATAGTCACCTGTGGTGTTCACCCCTCCAAGTGTATATAGTTACTCGTGCTGGTCACCACCCTTAGTCGTTATCCAGTTAAGTAGAGAGTTACCTGTTGGAATTAGTGAACTAACGTGTTGCCTCCAAGATCAAGTGTGCGCCTAAATTGAACCCACTACGCATGTGGACAATATGTGCCGGAGTTGAATGCCAATGATAAGGTCTGCGAGCTCTGAGAGTGCTTAGGGAGAGAGAGTTTGTGAAGTTTTGCTATTCATCCTCTGTTTAACAGGTAGGCTTTCACGACCAATATTAATCCAACTCTGGCTGTCGCCTGATGAGGCCGAGTTATAATCACCAGCGAAACGTCGTACTCGAATTGTTAATGTTGTGGGTTTACTCTCCAACACACCGGTGTGCTGAACTGTTTTTTAAGTGACAAACCTTACTAATTTGCTGTGTCCGGTGGTGGAGGGTTTAACAACACATTTATATTATGTGATCAAACCCAAAAAACCTCTAATATGGATGTGGGTTGCATTGGCACAGTCGCACTCCTGTGGTCTGCGTCTTTAGGTTTCCACTTATGAAGGAGATGTGGTGCGCATCGGTCTGTTAATGTTCTGATGATGTGGTCGATGGTCACACCACCGGTGTCTTCGAGGATGGAATGTCAAAGCCAGGGGAGGTGTGATGCTTGGGTCTTGAATGAGGAGGTGTTTGTTCTGGACATCTATGTTGTTCCGCTCTGTTGGCCAGCATTTTTCTGGATCTGGGCGAGAGTCTAAGATGGTGACAGCGCGATCCCAAAAGGGGGATCGGGACTTGATTCGGTTGTGAGGGACATTGTTGAGGTCTGGTTGTAGTTGGCAAGAAAACTTGTGAACTCCCTTGTCGTTTGCGCGATGTCTCTGCAAATATTTAGAGGCATTGATGTTCGCCAGAAGAGGGAACCAGGGGATTGGTGTCAGTTTCAGTGTGCCGATTATGATGCACATCACTTTATCAGTTTTGTGTAGGAGCTGCTGGACCAAGCTAGAGCGCGGTGACTCTGACACTTAGTAGACTCTGACACTGAGTAGACTGACACTGTGGTGACTATGATACAGAGTAGATCAGTGAGAGGGTGGCAGTTCGCAGCACATCTGCTGTGGCATCCCAGATCGTTCCTGATCGTTTCTGTAGCAGAGCCATTCTTGACATGGTCTTTTCACAGATTGGTTTAATTTGTGGCTTGAAGGTCAGGCATCTATACTGTTCCCTAGATATCTCGGATTGGGGTCGTAGCATATTGGGTTACTGCAGAAAGAC